AAAAGCAAATTTTACCATGGTAAATATTGTTCTCCTGGTGAAAAATTTGAGTTATCAGATATTACAATGGAGAATGCAGCTAAACGAGAGTTATATGAAGAAACAGGCCTGAAAATTAAATATAGATTAAGCTTTATTGGGTTTTCAAGAAGCAAGATTATGAAGTTTATATTTATAAATTTCTAGTTGATGACATGAATCAAGTTCGATTAAATGAGCCTGATAAACACGAAGAATGGTTTTTTACCAATAAATTTTACGAATATTCTTTAACACCAAGTATAGAATTTTTTAAACAAAGGATTCTTGAGAGTGTGATATCATATTACATTGTTGTTTCAGGGGCTACTTGTGTTGGTAAATCTACAGTAATTAAACAAATAGGAAAATATATAGAGAATAAAGAATTTGAAGAATGTCTTGTAAATGAATCAATATTAAAAGGAGATGAATATTTATTAAAATTAAAAGAGGAAAATATTAGAGCTTTTGAATATGGATTGTTAAACAGGTATCATAATCGTCATATTGAATTAGCAAAAGAAATTAATTTCAAACAATTTGTAATTGTTGATAGAAAAATTTTTGATGGGGATATTTATAAACGAGTTTATGGGTTTGATGAGGAGGTTATTATAAAAGAACAAAGGCCAAGATTGATCAATACTCAAATGTTGGTATTTTTTATTACATGCTCAGACAAGAAATTAAAGCATAATTTCAATTCACGTAGAAAAAATGTGTTTATATTAAATCAAACTAAAAAGATTAGAAAATATTATGAAGATGATTTTTTAAAAGTTTATCCTGATGCTATATTAATTGAAAATAATAGCAAAATTGAAGATATGGTTGATGAAATTATTAATCATATTGATCTATTTTTAGTGAATTTCGAAATTTATTAATAATTTTATGATTTTAAAATATTCATGTTTTATTTTTTATTTTTTTTTCAGTTTATTTTGATAACAAGATGTGTTTTTTAAACACATTTAATTTTTTTTATTTATTAATCCTTTTAATCATTATTGATTCATTTATTTTTTATTTTTTTTTAGGTTACTTTGATAAGGTATAACAAGATGTATTTTTTAAACACATTTAATCTTTTTTATTTATTAATCTTTTTAATCATTACTGTTCAGTTTCATATTTTTAAAAATCTTTTTTTTTATCAAGAAATCTATATACCTGATTTATATACTCTTTGTATTCTTTTTCTATCTATATGTTTTTTGATAAGTTTCTGAAAAAAAAAATGCAAAAAGATTGTGATTACGGAAATGATTGGGGCTGGTAAAACTCAATTTGCAGAAAGTTTACTTCAAAAGTTTCAAAAAGAAAGAAAACGAGTTTTACTTGGAAAAGAAGTTTCTTTGTTGATTGAAGAAGAACTTAATCTTTATTATGAGGCATTAAATATTAATTCAAAAAATAAATCAATTGTGTTTTGGTATCAAGATAAAATTATTCAAGAATACCAAAAATATATGAATAGTATCCCATATTGGATATACGATATTGTTATTTTTGATTGGTTGTATTTGGATGTTAATTTTTTTTCTATATTAGCTATTAATAGTAATTTTGAAAAGAAAAATTTCTTCCTTATTTAGAAAAAAAAATGAATTGTGTTAAATTTAAACCAAATTTAGTTTATTATGTTGATGTTGACGATTTTAATATTGTTAAAAAAAGAGTTGAATATAGAAATAGAGATTGTGAAAAGAAAATGAATATTGAATATTGTAAAAATCTTTTTGATTTGTATAAAAAGATGGTTCCAAAAATTTATCCTAAATATAAAAGAATTGATAATTCTTTTGATTTTTTGGGTAATAAAGAGTCTATCAAACAGAATTGGTTTATTAATATTAAATCAGATCTTAGTTTAGTTGATAATTAATTTATATTTTTTATAAATTATTTGATTATATAATATTATTTATTTTATTGAAATAAATCAAATGTTCTTATGAATTATCTTGGATATGTTAAAGTAAGAAATTTGTAATTTGTTTTTAATATAAAAATTATAAATAAAGTATGTTATTGTTAAGATTAAATAAAAAATAAAAATGTTATCTGATAACAATAACAAAAATGACTCCAAAAATCAAAATTTCTAATCAATCTAATGAAAAAAAAGAAACTGATGAAATAGAAACTCCAATTTACACTAAAGAATTTTTTGAGAATCTTCAAAAATTCAATTGGAAGCATTTAGAATGCTCGATTTTTCAAGTTATAAAGATTAATTAGATATTATAAAAAAATGGCAAAATATCATTAGAGAAAAACTCAAAACAATTGTTCCATTAGACAGAAGTTCAGAGCATTCAAAAAAGAGAAAATATTAGGATGCATTCAACAAAAGATCTCTTGAGGTGGTTATTAATTCTAAAACTAGAAAAATTCACCAAGAACAGAAAATGTCAGAAAAAGATAAACAAAAGAATAAGAAAATTAAGAGATTAGAAAGTGCAGTTCAATTATTATTAAAATCAAATTCTAATGTTGCTCCTGAAGTTTTAAAATTATTCAAGCAATGAAATAAATTTAATTTTATTCATTTATTTATTTGATAATATTTATTAATATGTTATAGGTATAAATAGGAAAGTTAAATTAACATGATAAAATATTTTTGAAA